TTTTTTTAACTTTTTTCAAACTGCATAGTTCTTTAATATTTCTGGATGCACAATGTTGTATCTAAGCATTCTCTGACCTATGTATCTGTGTCATAAAGAAAAATGTCTCCTTGCATATTGATTGGTCATGCTCCACAAATTGCACTTGTACAGGAAAAAGGGGTCTGAACAAATGTGCTGATGTTTTTGGAGAACATGTGTGAGGTGGAGTGTGAGCCTGCCTTGCAAGTGCTCCCCACAGCCTGTAAGGTACCCCTCTTAGCAAACTGAGCCATTGTAGAACCTTCCTGTATGCAGGGTGTCATATGATGTCAAAGCAAGTTTACTTGAATCCAGGGCTTCTTCATTTTATCAAATATCTCTTCATATATTTTCACTTCCTACATTTTTTGCCACTAAAATAAAAATGTATTTTATTTTTAAAAAATCCTGTAATCTCTCAGAAATTCCCACAGAATGGTGCTAAATCTATGCCTTATAAACCATACGCTTATATATCATATTTCTTTTTTATTATTTGTTTTTATTTTCGATGGTTTTTACATAATTGACTAGGGTCAAGGGCTACAAGAAGGTGGGTGAGATCATCGTTTCCACATTCTCTTTTTTTCCTTCCTGTATCCGAGGGAAGGATGGAGATAAGGGGAGAAGCCACACCCAGCCTCCCATCCATCCCAGGGCCCCCGATGTGGGGCATGCTCCGAGGGTCTTGCTCAAGAGCTCAACAGTTCTGAATTGCTGCAAATCTTGCCACTCCAAGCACGATCAAATCTCTCCAGAATCCACTGGTTGACATAGGTCCCCTTAGAGTCTCTTTTGGCCCAGATTTTCACGGCCTACACTTGACTGGAATAGTTGACCCATTTGCTCTGTCCTCCGTCCTCTGATGTGGTACTAGGTGTCCTCTGAAGACTCCAGTGGACTGCCATATCCTCCTACAGGGAGGTGCCCACTGTTTCCTTACTGGGTCCACTTCCACTCCCAAATCTTGCACTCTCCAAGTAGTTCTGCAGTTTAACTTGACAGAATTTGCTCCCCATGCTAGCATCTGCCAGCTGATGCTACATCAAGCCCAATCAATCATCACCCGCTTTGATTTATGCTTGCACCAGTAGGAACAGTCAGCCCAGCCTGGCTTTCCCCCTGATCCAGCTCACATGAGGCCCACAAGTGTTGTAGCCCTGCCTAGTCTGGTCTGCCCCATCCCAACTTACAGTCTCCAATGAGACTGGCAGTCCAGCAGGGGAGCCTCACATAGCCGCTCCTGCCGGCTTTGCCCTTTCCCCGCCGGGGTCTCACGTGTGCTGGTTAGGTGCTGCAGTCCATTCTGGCTGTCCAGCCTCATCTCGGCATTTGCTGGTGGGTGCTATAGCCTGGTTGGGCCCGGCCTAGCCCAGCCTCAATTCCAGCTTATGCTGGCAGGGGTTACAGCCTAGCCTAGCCCAGCCTGTACCCAATCCTGGCCCTCATATGAGTTGGCATGTGTTGCGACCCAACCCAGCCCGGCCCACATTTCCATTCTGGTACTCAGATTGGCCAGGGGGTGATGTGAACTGGCTCAGCCTGGTTTACCCCCTGACTGGTGCCAAATATACACCTATGGGTACCATTCCCTGGCCTTGTCTGGGCTGCCCCCTACTGTAGTTCTTGTGTTCACCTGCAGGGACTGTGTCCTGAGAGAGGAGTGCCCCAAGCTCTTCCATCTGAACCTCTCCCAATGCCAGATCTTGTGCCCATTGGCATTTCTGTGGGCCAGTCCTTCTTAGTCTACCTCCTGTCCTAGCAGGAACAGTAACCTTTCCTGACTGGCCTTCAGCTCATGCTTTTTACTGTTGGGCGTTACAGCCCAGCCAAGCCTGATCCATACCCAGACACAGCTCACACATGGCTCAGCAGGGGCAGAGACCTGACCTAATCTGTCCTACATAATTCCTGTTCCTCCAGAGCACCATGGGTGCAGTTGTCTAGCCCAGTCTGGCGCAACTCAGACCCAGTCCACACTTGTGCTGAGGGACACTGTAGCCATATCCAGAACAGAAAGCAGCCCACACTCTAGCCTTTGTACTACCAGTGGGAACCACAATCCAGTCAGACGTTCCCTCAGATCCCCAGCCAGGCCTGTTTCCAGCCATCGATTACGTGTGTGCCAGTGGTTGCTCTGACCCAGCTTGGCATGGTCCCTCACCTGTCTTGGTCTTTGCCTTTGGATGCTGTAGCCTGGCTTGAACCTGCCTGGTCCCGGTCCTAACTCTTGCTGGTGGGTGCTGCAACCTTGCTGTGCTCAGTTTGCTCCCATCCCTGGCTTATGCAAACTGGTTGCCCAGAATGACCTTTGCTCTAGCCTGCTTTCTGCATTTGCCTGTGAGCTAAATTTTGCTTGATCCTGCCCGGTCTGCCTGCTTCCAGAAGCAACCCATACATTTGCCAACAGTGGGAGCTATCTTGTCCAGCTTGCCCAACCCATATGCCTGGATCACGTGCTCACTAGTGGGAGCTATGATCCACAATGAGAATTTCCCACGTTCCCTCACTCAGCCCACTCTTGGATCCAGATCTCATGAATGACAGCAGTACTAAGCTCTTGTCCGGCATAACCTGCCCCTTCTTCTCGACCTTGTATGAGCTGGTGAATGGCCTGTTTTATGGTGGTAAACCAGTTATGGCCTGGTTTACCACCCTGTTTCAGGATGTACATGTGGGTGCTGCAACCTGAATCTGCCCAGACTATTCTTGGTTCTTGTCATGTGAGTGATGGTCACACCTAACACAGCCCATCTCCACCCCAACTCCTGAACTAATCAGCAGGGTTGCACCTACACTTCCCCCACAGAATCTAACCCTGGACATGGTTCTCTCTCATGCTGGTTAATGTCATGACCCTGCTTAATGTGACCTGTCCCATGTTTCAACATTCGTTCAGGTACTGGGCTCTAGCCCTGCGAGACAGGTCCCCATTCCTAGGTTTTTGCCTGTGGTGGTCAACAATGTTCCATGCCAACATCCCTACTAAGGACTCCCATGTAGCTGGTGTATCAGTCTGATACAGACAGATTTTCCAGTCTCTCCCCTCCACACCACCAGTTCTCAGTCTCTTGTCTTGCCTGCACGTAAGGTGGCCTGTCATTGGCAGTCCTTGAGAATTCATCCCTTACCTACAGTCACATATGGTGACTTTATCCGTGGATGTCCCTAGCCAGTAATTCCACACCCCCGTGACCCCAAAGCTCGCTGCCAAGTGGCTTATATCATGTTTCTCACACTACTCACAACTCTGAAGTGCTGAATCACTTTGGAAGTGGAAAGCAATGAGACCAGGACATAAGCAAAGGACTTCCAACATGGTGTGCTTAATACAGATGTGTGGGAAAACACACACACACACAAACACACACAGAAACCAGGCACTCTCTTCATTAATTTAGCTCCTAATTTCCAGATAATTATGAACTATCTGGTAGTGCCTCTGATCCCAAGCCAGGGTGCTATGTGCAGGCATTTGGACTTGTACTTCATGTTTCTCAAGTCCAATGGCAAGTAGCTAAGAAAGACAGCAGGAGTGAATTCTAAGTGTGTGTTTATGTTGGTATTCTTACCTATTCTGCCTTTTATAAAATGTGTTTATGTGGTTGCACTAACAGTACTTTTAGCACAGAAAATATTGTCATTCAGTGAATAGTATACAACACACACTTCAAAGGAATTACACTGCTTGGGCTCCACAAACACACAGTATGACAGCTGTACAATTCAGGCAGAAACATAAAAGAGAAATAGAGTCTCCTGTGTCTCTGAGGTTTTTCCATCTGTGAATTTCTTCATGGCTACAGAGAAATTCTAGAAATTATACTCTAGCAAAAATAAGCCCAATTTGAAATTTGAGAATGGTGATGGATCAGACTTTTGGCTATGATGCCAGTTAGGCTGCCTGCATCCTGCATTGGAGCACTGGGTTCAGCATCCATTAGCTGCTGCTGATTCCAACGTCCTGTAATGGGAACCCTGCAAGGCAGTGCTGATAAACTGCTGCAGAGCGCCTTATTCCTCCCCCACTGCCCATGGACTGAGTTCCTCCTTTGTCCCAGCATTTGAGGAATTAGCCAGAAAATGGACACTCTGCATCTCTCATTTCCTATGTCTCTCAAAACAAATAAAAAATTTTTAAGTAAAAAAAAAGAGGCCAGTGTGCATTTTCAAATATCTTTTTTATTCTAAAGAAAGCTCGCTTTACTATATTTCCTCCGGGCAAACTTGTGGAGAGCGTGTGATGGTGACAAACAACTAAGTGTCTGGTATTTATAAAGTAAGGATAAGACTCAGAAATGGATGTTTTGTGGCATTAGTAGTCCTGAATTAAACAGATGTGTGTGAAAATCCCAACATGATCACTGACTTTATCTTAAAATGAAGCAAACTTTGCCTGTTTGATACAGTGTAAGAATGCAGTCTGCATTAATTTAAAATGTATTTCACATAAGTATCGAATAATCTTAAGTATTGCAAGCATATAAAAATGAGACAAATACACCCATTATAAAAATAAATTTTTGATGTTTACAAGATGGCATATCAGTTTCTTAGGAAAAATGGAAATCCTACAAGGTAATGTTTAAACGTGATTGATCAAAGATGGAAGACAGCACTATGTAAAGGCATCGCTTAGCCTATGAACCCAGCACTAGGCCGCTGGGGAAAATGCAGAATTGTTTGTCACTGGAGAATAAGTACGTTATATGGCAATCAGCTAGGGTGACTTCCTTCTAAGATTATTGGGAACAGAACACTACATAACAGTCTTGTCACAAAGATGTAATTCTATGTGAAATATGCTTTTATACTTTGCTATAACTTTAATGTTTATCATTCAAAAATGAAGTTTATTTTTGTAAGCTGAATGCATTTTTAGAAAATTATTCCCAGTGGATTAACTGAATACATAACCTCCTGATGCCAGCAAATGCATGTGAAACAATGAATAATAGAATCCCTTTGTTTGCTTTCAGATTTTTAGGCGATGCTGGTTGGTGTTCAAGAAGGCATCCAGCAAAGGACCCAGAAGGTTAGAAAAATTTCCAGATGAGAAGGCAGCTTATTTCAGAAACTTTCATAAGGTAAGCCACTGACCTGGGAGTCCCTGGGGACAGACTGGACTCTTGCCAACTCATGGAGACATTTCTTTGATAGATGAAAACTGCACCAGGAAAAATTCATGGCGAGGATAAAATGTCCCTGTTTCGATCAAATGCAACAGTTATTTTTCTCCTTTATTTTAATCATCTGCTGTGTGTGCCAGTAGCACCGCTGCAAAATGAAAGGCTCATTTTTATTACTACTTTGCCAAATGATATGACTCATAATTCAACCAGATCGTCTCGCAAGGTGCTGAGTGGGCATTTTCCCTCTGTTCAGGTTAATTGTGCTTTTTTTTTTTACTTTGATTTAAACTCTGGGGAATACGTAGGAGTTAGAACTTCTGAGGACAGCTCTAGCAGTACTAACGAAAATGCTAATGTTTGTGGCATTTGTTGTATAGTTAGTTCCTTATCAGGAAATTATCAATTAACCTGATGTGCTCAAGGCCTGTGAATGAGCTATCAATTCCCTCAGTTTTAAAAGAATGTAAAACAAATCTCAAAAATGATAATAAAGGTGCTGCCTAAATTTATCATGGTGATAACACCAGAATCAGTTAATTATTTTATAACAACCAGAGGATTCAGTATTGCCTGTTGGTAGAATCTTGAAATAAAGTGAAGTAAAGATTGTAATTCCTCATTGGTCATGATTCAGGTAAGTTATCTGGAATTTTTGCAATTATATTTTATGTAATACATAATTTAATTTATCCTTTTATTGAAAGTAATTGCTTGTCAGTAATGTGTGAACTAATTCTATAACGAGCCATCATTTATATTATATTTGGACCAGAGAGAAAAAAATTTCAGTTCTATAGCTGTTTATGAGGTACTGTGACTCTTTTTTTTTTAAATTTTTATTTTATTTTTTTTTGTAAAGATTTATTTTTATTATTTTTTTATTGGAAAGGCGGATGTACAGAGAGGAGAGACAGAGAGGAAGATCTTCTGTCCAATGATTCACTCCCCAAGTGAGCGCAAAGGTCGATGTTATGCCGATCCGAAGCCAGGAGCCTCCTCCGGGTCTCCCACGCGGGTGCAGGGTCCCAAAGCTTTGGGCTGTCCTCGACTGCTTTCCAGGGCCACAGGCAGGGAGCTGGAAGGGAAGCAGGGTCGCCGGGATAGAACCGGCGCCCATATGGGATCCTGGGCGTGCAAGGCGAGGACCTTAACCACTGCGCCACTGCGCCGGGCCCGGTACTGTGACTCTTAACAGATTTACCACAAGAAAATGAAAGTTTAAGTTTATGTTCACACACCTGCTAGCTCACGGACATTTGGTTTTCCCATGAGTAGGTATAGTTGAAAATTGCTTTACTATGTGTCTTTCAAGATTGAGACAGACTGTCATAAGATAACCACTTTGCTGCTCCTTCTTTCTACATGAAAAAGTATCTGAATTCCAAGGCTTACTGCTCTTTGTGTGTTATGATCATACATTTTATTGTGATTTTAGTAATAATGTTAAGCTGCCTAATGGAGCCAGGTTGTAGAATGCCATTTAATTTGGAAATGCAGTGTGGATGGGCAGAGCATGCCTGTGTGCTATGGGTGCCTTGAGTCCTGGGTGGATGGAGTGCTTTGTTCAGTGTCCCTGCTCTGACCTCTATTTACAAATAAAACTACAAAATCTTCAAAAGAACTATTTCTTGTGACCCTGCCATCTTCTATCTGAAAAATGGCCACACTCAAGTATCATAGTCCCCTGTAAGAATTGCTGATGTGAACAGACAGGCGTGTGTGCCTACTCTGTTCCAGACACTCTGCTTCAGCTTGGAGAAGCCAGAACATGTGGGATATTCTCTCAGGTGCATGTGTTGCTGTCCTATCAGAGAGATCATGTCAGAACAACAGATATTAGAGACAGACTGCTTCCGTTTCACACCGCAGGTCTAGGCACGGGAGTATATACAGATTTCCACAGAGAGCATTTTCCTAGTGTGCAGTTTAGGTAATGCTTCTTAGCAAAGATGATACTTGAAAAGCAGAACTAGTAGAAGTGATAGACAAGCAAAGTTAAATGAATGCTGGGTTTGGAACGCAGCTTTCTTATCATCTTTCTTTATTTTAATTATTTTATTTTGATAATCTTCACATAGTTGATTAGGGCACAAAGAGTCAAGGGCTAAGGAAAGTGGGTGAGACCATTGTTTCCAATGTTTTTTTTCCTGCATTTTGGGTAAGGGGGGAGATTCCATCCCAGGGTCCCAATGTGGGGCATGCTTCGGGGGTCTTGCTCAAGTGGTTTTGATAGCTCAACAGTTCTGAATTGCTGCCAATCTTGCCATTTCAATCACGATGAAATCTCTCCAGAATCCACTGGTTGACGTGGTTCACCTTAGTCTCTATTTGCCCAGATTTTCACTGTCAACTCTTGACTGCAGTAGTTGATCTGTTGATTGTTCTGTCCTCCATCCTCTATTGTGGTACCAAGTGTCCTCTGCAGGTTCTGATGGACTGCCGGGTATGCTGTCCACTACTCTAAGCCTCTGACGAGGCCCAGCTCTGATATATGCACTCCATGGTCAGACCTGTGCTTCAGCCTGCTTTCTGTTCTTCCTTGTGAGCTAAGGTTTGCTTGGCTCTGCCCTGTGCTCCCTTCTATAAGCAATGCACACATTTGCCAGCCATTGGAGCTACTTTGCCCAGCATTCCCTAGCCTGGGGCCTGCACCATGTGGTCATCAGTGAGAGTGATGACCCACTAGGGAATTTCCCAAGTTCCTCCACATGATCCACACCTAGACCCAGATCTCATACATGCCAGTGGGCGTTAGGCCAGTGTTCTGCATAGTCTGCCCTTCCATTTTGGCCTTGTATGAGCTGGTGAACTTTGCAACCCGGCCCACCCCACACCCTGTTTTAGGATGTACATGCATGGGCTGCTGCACTGCTCTGCCTAGACTGCTGTCAGTTCCTTTTCCTGTGAATGATGGCAGGTTCCATGGTCACACCTAGCTCAGCGTATCACCACCCCAACTCATGAGCTAACCAGTGGGACTTTTATTTCCATAGGGTTTTGCCCACACTTTCTCCACAGAATCTACCCCTGGACATGGTTCTCTCATGCTGGTTAATGTCATGACCCTGCCTAATGTGACCCATCCCCTGTTCCAACACTCAGTCAGGTACTGGGCTCTAGCCCTGCTAGACAGGCCCCCAGCCCTAGGTTTCATGTGGACTGCGTTAACAATTAGCGGTACTCTATGCTGACAGCCCATTTCCGGATTCCCACATGGACTAGTGCATCAGTCTGGCCCAAATAGATTTTATGGACTCTCCCCTCCACACCACCAGGTCACAGTCCCCATGCTTGCCAGCAAATTCCACGACCCCATCGCTGGAAGTCACACAGGATTCATCCCTCACCTACAGTCACATTGGCCTTATCCATGGATGTCCCTAGGCAGCAGTTACAAACCCTAAAACCCTAGAGCTTGCTGCTGGTCAGCTAGCAGGTGGAGCCTGGCGCTCAGTGGGCACACTGGCTGCCCAAAGCCTAGGACTCAGATACCACATGGCAGCAGTGACCATCTCCCTTGTCCCAAGCATAGGATCTGACCTGGCTCGGACACCACCCGCAGGCACCACGTTACTGAGGGCTCCTTTCTCCCTGGTTCCACAGCCAAACACTGCCCAGATTCTTCCTGCCGCAAAAAGTCTCTTATCATGTCTTTCCTTTTCTTGTCCATTCCTTTTGCTCCAGTGGCAGTCTATGGCATGCTTAGAGCCAAACCCACTGTTAATTCCTGCTTGTTTGATGCTGTCTCCATGAAAATCACTTGCCTTCTGTCGTGAGCAGCACATTTCAAAAGCAAATTTTTTGATTTATTCTATGAATTATGGAAATGGAGACTTACAGCCTGTTATGGACCTCCAGTCAATGAATATTCATTACTCACATGACTGTTGCATATGCTGCGTTGTTCCACGTGCTAGGGATATAGTAATATAAAGAAAGATGGTACCCTAGCCTGTCATCATTGACCTTATCTTCTTAACTGATGCGAGGTAATACCTCATGCCATGGTAATTGACCTTCCTGTAGGTGGGGGTCCAGGTGATGTAACAACAGAGGAAAGGAGAACTTCAGTCAACAGGAAGAAGCCGAGACCCAGTCAGAACAAACAGCATCCCTTAAGAGCTTCAGATATAGATGAAGTGCCTTCCAAGAGGGAGAAGGAAGAGGAGCAGGAAGCAGACAGATGGTGATGGCGGAGGGAGAGGAGGAGAAAATAAATACCTCTTCTCTCTGATAGACCCTTCATGCAAAGTATAAATCAGTAACATGCATGTACATGTAATCATCTTCAGGAAAGTGTAATAGAGGCTCTCATATCAACATATGAAGATACACTGCAGTATGCATCTCACTTCCAGATCAAAGATGGACTCCCAATGAAGCTGTTGAATATACCTTGGCAATAGGATGCTGACCTGCCTGCCATTGTCCATACCTACCATGTCAGGATACACTTAGATAGCAAAATGATGGACTTACCACTGTTTTGAAGGACTATACTATTGCAATAACTGAAATTTGTGGAGGGGGAGGGGTTTGGATGGGGGAAATCCTGTATCACAAAATAGATCAATCATTTGTTTATTTTTTTAAAAGAAAGAAAACTGTGGAGGAAGTAGTTTGATGTGCTTGAGGACCCAAAGAAGGTTGGTTAGAGCACAGCAGGGGATATCACAGACAGTGAATGGAGTCTGCAAGTGATGGGCGTCCATGGAGGAGTTTTAGCGGGGGACTGGCTCTCTATTTTCAGTGCCGGTTTGTATTTCCATTTGTGGTATGCACCAGACATCACATAACAATATATTTATTCCATAGGTATTATCTGAAAATGAAAAAAAATAGAAAGCCACGAATGATTTTTTAGAAAAGTGAACCGACAAAAGGAGTGACTGGCAGCTGTGCTCTTGGCCACAGCGACCTTCTGAGGGCAGCCACACTCCCTGCATCTCCAGGTG